ACAAAATACTCTTACCGTTAATATGCTGGACATCTGATCCAAAGCCCATTGAAGATGCTCAGTAACTTTCTGTTGACTTCAATGAGTTGTGGATGATGTCTCGAGAGCAGCACTTCAGAGCTCATTTCTTATCGCATTGAGCCCTTTTATGTCCTCCGAAACGTTCATATTGAAGACTTTGAGAAGATAGGTCTCAGTTGATCAAGCTTTTAAGATATGCTTAATTTTAAGCATAATCAACCCAATGACTTCAAATCCAGTAGGGTATTAGAAAAAAAGTCTTTCTATAACCACAAAGGCAGAAAAATTCCCCCTGGCTCTAAACCGAATACCGGAGAGAAGTCTGTGGTACAGCTGTACCATTTTTTCAGTCAACAAGCTACATTCTCGGTTTGGTTATGCTCACTAACCATCGCCCAGCTTATTTTCTTAAAAAAATGTAATGCCATACTGTTTCACTATTAAAAATAAATTTCAATATACTGAAACATTCTGTCAGACTAATAAAAAGCATATCTTTGACATTTTTTTATCCTTTTCCAAACTTTTTAAATGTTTAAGCAGACAGCTCATCAATGACATATTGCATAAACGCTTCACTGTTAGAAGTAATTTTTCATGATGAATCTTTAAAGTGCCAGAATATCTGATAAGATAAATTTTGATTTTCTTTATATGAAAAATGCTTAATAGTTGTCTTAGAGTCTTTCTGCACTATGATTTTTATCTGTATTTTATTACAGTAATAATAACATCTAATATACTCTCTCATATCTGTCTTGTTCTTTCTTAAGGTCAAAATTATATCCAGAGCTAAAAGCAGCAAGAGACTTCTTCCTTTCTTCCATCTACAGGCAAATAATAGCAAATTAGGAAATCTAAATGTGATATATGTCTCTCTATATATATATACTTTAATATATGCTTGGTAATCAGTAAACCAAGTATTGGTATGTTATTACAACAACTAATTTTCAGTCTTGCAAGTAAATTAGATGCTATTACATCAGGCTATTTAATTGCCTTTCTTACCAATAATCTGTGAAGAAGAAGAAAATGTTAATTCCTCCTCCTGTCTTCAGGCAGATTTCACTCGTTCATATTTTATTCGATTTGTTCTTTTCATTTTCACCTAGTGGTGAACCTTAACTGCCTCTTTCAAAGGCACAGATCATTTTTAGGGAGCAGAGGAGCAGCAGGCAATGCACAATAATGTGCACGGCCCTTTGGAAGGTGCCCTTCCAGGTATGGGGATGGGAATGCAGCACAGGCTCCTGCAGCTGCAGGGCAGCAGCAGCCCGACTCCAGGGCTCAGGACAGGCTGGCTGCTAAAAATAGTGACCGCTGTGCTCAAAGATGGCTCTCACAGCCCAAAGACAGGGACCCATTAGTGGAAATTTATGTCCAAAGCCTCCAAAGCTAGATACAAGTTAGAGCAAAGAGGGTAAAAAAATCCCTATGGATTCAGGGATTCTGCATGTCCTTTAAATGCATTTTAATGTGTTTTACCAAAGGATGCATGATCAAAAAAGAAGAAAATACATAGTGTTACTAGCTCAAGATTGAATAAACTATAGCAGCTGCACTTCGAAAGTGCAGGTGCAGAGGATGCCTCTCACTCAGCCTCGTCAGTGAATGAGCATCTCACCCATTTGTTTGGCAGTAGCTGGAGTAATGGACAATGCAGATGAAAACAGCTCATAAACCTGGGAATTGGCTTGGCTATGAAATCCATAGGGCTCCCTGGAGGCTAGAAAATGAACATGGGCATTAGGGTGCCTGGTCCCATGCTGAAGGTGACACTGGAGTTCATGCTGATGGGGCAGCAGAGCTCACGCCTTTCTCCCAGGCCCAGTGAGCTGCACTGGCTGCAGAGACCACCCTTCTCTGCCTCAACACCTCCAAAACACTTCCCAAATCCATCAGTCATGACACTGCTTATGCAAGATGGCTTGATGAAGATAGCTTCTTATTTTTCAGATGGAGAAATTGAGTAGAAATTGAGTGACTTATCTAAGGTCACAGACTGAACCACTATCAAAGGCCGAGACTGGTTGAGGCATTCCCTGCTTCCCAACTTGCTCCTCGATCCCTAGACAAAGCATTACTCTTCCCACCCTCCAAACTTGTTTATCCTTTCTCTTTCTCTTAGGTTAGCCAAGAAAAATAGTAAAGAAAGTCAACAAAATATCTTTTCACAGAGTCATGAATCCCTGTTCTCCAGAAAGGAATATAATTCATTGCAGCACATTAATTATGCTGTAGGCTAGCATTCCTATAGTCGTTCCTATTGTCCTCTTTGCACTGAAAAAAAAGACATCTAATGTCATGTTTCCAGTTTCTGTCAGCATAAAAATTAATGTGCTCAGCAATGGCACCTTTAGATTCTTATTTTCTGACAGAGACCACTAAGGTTACTCTCTGTTCTTTCCAAAATAAAGCCACCTTTAAAGTTCAGAGAAGAGTTTAGCATTTCATGTCAAAGGCAGCATAAGCGCTGTGAGTCTTCAGTGGGTGGTGATGGCAAGATCAGGCCACCAGTGACAGAACTACTTCTGTAAGTCAGCTGGATAGTCTACGTTTTCCAGGCTTGCTTGGTGTGATTTAGGTTAAGTGCAAGACTTATGGCTCTTGGTCTTCTCCTAGTACCATCTTTTTTGTATATGCATATCCCTCAAGGTGGAGTGGCTTGTCAGGCAATGACTAAGTCATAAATAATGGGCTTTCTCCTGTAGCCAAGAAACTATTTTTCTTGTGGCCCATACTTTCAAAAAAAGGGGATGAAGGTCTGTGCAAGCAGGACACCAGCTCTCCATCCCTTCTGAACATACCCTGCTCAAAGACAATTGCCAAATCACTAAACGAGTTGGTAATACACCTGCACAATAAATGAAAAGGAAAAGGCTGATTTTCAAAGCTACACATATATCTCTGTTGGCTTACAGACAACATTGTTTATCATAGGTTACCAAGGCAGAAAAGTATTTGATTATGTAGAAAAAAGTTAACTAAAATGGATGTGAAAGCCCAAGACAAAGATAAATCTGGACTTGTTTCAGCTTTTTTCTTTCCTGAAAAATAAGTTGGGTGGTGATATGAGCTGTAAGGAGCGGGCCAGAGCCACTCCAGGTAGCTGCACTGTGACAAAACACCTCCACCTCACTGAATACAGATGTGCACAGATGCAGAATACACACATTATGCTTGCACAAGGGCATAATTAAATCCATGTTACTTTTTTTTGCTTAAGTACTGTTGGGACCCTGCACTCAGGACCTGTGTTTAGCAGGTCAATATCTCTTGGCAGCACTTAGCCGCACGCTCAGCAGTCACAGGCCAGGAGTCATTCCTAGCCCTTCAGTTTCACGTGGCCAAAAGCATTAAAATGCTGCTTCTTGGGCAGTTCTGGACAGAGCTGGAAAGTGTTTGAGTTGGAAAATTGCATTTTCAGGACATCTGCCATGGCTTAAATCACAGCAGCCAAGAATGAAACAGGGCGAATGCCCTGCTGCAGTGAAACTCCTGCGTGCCACCACGTTTGCTGGCCTGGGCTACCTCCCATCCAGACATTACATGAGTCAGAGTGCATGAGAACAATAATTACCTAGCATTTCCTTATACATTTTTAAAGGTCTCTAGGTCTCACTTGACTAAGAGCTGCAAGAGCTAAGCAACATAGACACGAATGGTACCCAAAAGGAGTGTAAGTGTTTAAGCAGCTTTAAAAAATACGATGCTTTAAACATTTCAGCGTGGACAAACGCAGACAGGAGTGTGTTTGATCTCCTCGAATCAGCCAGAAATTAGCCAGCTGCAGCCCAGAAACCCAGTATCACACTAGCATAGCTCTGTGCTCGAGTCACTTTTCTCCATGGGCTCAGGGGTACAAGACACGGAATGCCAACTGGCCTTATTCTAGGTTTAATGATGATCTTCTGGGTTATGATATTTAATAGGGAAATACTAGAAAGCATCCATATACTGATTTATTATTATCTTAGCTTTGAATTCAAAATGCATCGCGCACATGCTTTGCAACATTTTCAAGCCAAAATCACAGCTTGTTACACTGCATTTGGAGGAAACAGCCACAAGGTAAAATTCACACATATGTAACTCAGCAGATGACCTTTCCTACACACCACATTTACATATTTTCAGACCAAATGACTTTTTTTTTTTCACAGGAAATTAAAAAAAACCCATTGTTAATTACTGCACCACAACTGTAGCAGATGAGCAGAAACCGCATTTGGCACATTTCATCAGATGTGTGTTGCCTATGTAAGTCAATTAATTGAGGCAAAGGGAGCTGCACTGATACCCTGCCTTAGAGTGATTTCCCAGGACTCTTCTGGAAATGAGATGACACATCTCAAGAGATTATTTCCTGCTAAAGTAATTTTAAATAACTATGTTAAAAAGAAACTAGAAGTTACAAGCAGGGCCTGATTCTGTCTTTCACTAGTGGCCCTTCATATCTTTGGAAATCTGAAATGAAATGTAGTTTAAATCTGTCTTAAAATTGCCAGAGCAGTTGTCTTCAAGTGAACATAATTTGGTACAGGAAAGTACAGTCATGCCTTGCCTTGCTGGTGGGTTTGCCTCTACGGCAGAGAGGATGGATGTCAGGAATAATACTGTCAGTCATCCCGACGGGCTGCATGCACACGTTTATTCAAAGCACAGGACTATTTTTATATTAATCAACAGCAAGCTGATTAAATCTGTAGCTTTACAAAGAAGGGGAATTAACTGAATGAAAACATTTATTTCAATACAAAACTTTATGATACTGTAACTTTGGAAATAAAGCCTTTTCTGAGCAATTCCATCTGCTCTACTTGACTTGTGCTCTTTGAAATAAACATCTGTTTACATGATGAAGACATGGGTACATTTGTCTCTGTTGGTTTTACTATAGGAAAGCATTAAGATGATTTTAAGTGTAAAGTTAAACATCAGATGCTAAAATTGAGAGTGTTGTTTTGAACATTTGTTTATGACTTTGCTCTTCGAAAGGAAGTTTTTTTAATTCCTGATCCAACACCATTGCGAAAGGACCTTTTATTGAAAGGCATCTCCAGGTAAGGCTTTAAAAAAGCCAGTTCTTCATTCCTGCCCACCGTGGCTAAGCAGTTATTCACCAGGACGAGGCAGTAATCAGATTTTCCATACAGCTGGCAATTCAAATAAAAAGGATTGCTGCTCTGAAGATAAAAAAAAGGAGAAAAAGAGAGAGATAAGAAAAGGTAAATTCATGGATTTGTGTATTTATCAGGAATTGTTCAGTATAAAAAGCAAAACAGAAACACAAAAAAAATACTTAGAATGACAAGGATGAACTGTTATTTGCTAAGGATTTATTATATTCAAAATCAGATTTTTTTGTAGCTTTCTAGAAAACTTAACTGTGGTATTTCTGATATAAAATACTGATACTGTTACAATTATGTTTACAGTATGAAATGAATTGTCTTCTGTGATGTTGACCAGTGGTGACATGTAACACAGTTTCCCTAGAGTAGCATGCATGTTTATTGCTGTAAAATGAGATTTTTTCAGTTAACAATGAAGGAGCATCTTGTTATCACTTGTGTGAAATCATGTAGTTTAAATGACAGGTAAGAGAAAATGAAAATACCTGTAAAGCAGAAATCTGGAGGAGGAAGCTTTCTAGTAGTTATGACTAGTTATGGTAGTAGTTATGACTAAGTTTAATAATGACAAAATAGTAATGGGAATTTTTAAAAGTCTGGGTTAAAATCCATATAGGTTTATGTACATGTTCCTTTTCCTTGCACTTTACAGTATAAAAATGTAAACTACATTTAAAAAGTTTTACAGACTTCAATTGCATTTAAATTAACATTGAATTTAAGAGGAAACATTTCCTGGCATGTCTGTAATTGTTCTGTGCACCTTTCGTCATATCATGATTTACCAGCTTGCTGATTATCTATCTAAATGAAATACTCTGCCATCATTTCTAAAGCTGTATATATCGCAGTCTTGCTTGGGAAATGGTTGCATGCAAAACCGTGGGGTTAACACCTGCCTTCACTGGAATTTATGGTAAAATTGCCATTAGCTTTACTAAGATTAGTTTTAATTCAGTATACTATTACTTTTATTAATACTTAACATTTTTTCTGTTCTGTGTGTATAAAAGGCAGACTAATGGTTCTTTCTGCAAGCAAGAGCATGCACCAAGTCTGAGCCAGCTGAGCAGGCGCGCTGCTCACTAACCACGCAGCCTTCTTTTGCCACTGACTGGTTTTTTCCCCAGATTGAAGTTTCTCCCTTACAAGAAGAAATACTTTCTGCAAGAAACACAGACACAGAGAAAGTCCCCTTTGAATTTTTAGCTGCTATCTCACAACCTATATAGGGACTTATACTACTGAATAAATGACTATTATTTTGACAGGCAAGATGTTCATTGAAATAATTAAACTCATTTTACCTATTATATCATTGCCATAAAGAGATCCATTAAGAAATGTGGGTAGTCAGATCAAGCTGTGTCCAAACTATCCGTGATCAGAAATGAAAGATGACTCAGCATTTACAGAAGTAAAACATACAGAGGAACTGGGCGATGGATAGATTAAGGCAAATGGGAACTTCACATCAATAAAATAAACACCTGCACGAGTAGCCACCATTTCTGCTAGCGATAGATCACCTTAATGAAAAGATAATGATGCAAAACACATCAGAGGAAACAAGGAAACCTGAACCATGGCTCCAGGAGCTGATTTTACAGCAATAAGGAACAGGGAGTCTAAAGAAGACTTTGTCCAAAGCAGGAAAACTGAACATCATCAGAAATAAAATATCTCATTCCATGTTGGCAAAGTCTTAAATTTTGTATGCATAGTTTGACCAGCAATCTGTCATGGTAACCTGATCTAGATCAGAAACTGAAAGGATATTAACATTATTTAAGTAACCTGTTCACTTCGGTTTTATAGGCTGTTCTACTTTCTTTCATAGTTCAATCGAATTTGTATTACTGATTCTATGCAATAATTTTCCACAACTTTATATAAGAATTTCTCCTTTACCTACATACTAACAGTGACAAATAAATTTACTGGTTTATAAACTAGCTAGCAATAAGTGAAATTAATACATATATCTTATTGTACCTATTTGATATAGACAAGGAATTTAGATGAAATAGAGAGGAGATTGATGTTTTTCTCTTTTCCATACAATATTTCAACTTCAGCAAAAGCTCCCCACACTCTACATTAAATATGCAATAGATTTCTCACATGATTATTTTAGAGGCTTGCATATTTTATTAGTAACTAAAGCAAAAATTGAGCTATACTCCAGGAAAATTAGGTAATAATATTTAACTAATAACTTTAATACAGGAAACTTCTTTCTTTTTATAAAAAAAAACCAACAACAAAGAAACAAGCAAACAAGAAAAATAATTTAAATAAAACAGCTATTTAAAAGAAATGAAGCATCTAATCTTCGAGTAAGTAGGGAGCATGACTTACCATGGAAGGGACAACTGGGTAACCTGAACACACAAGTGTCATTGAGATCCAAAGAATGAAAACAAAGTTTAACCTGCATAGACTTCAAAGAAAAACTGAGATCAGTTAAAATTTAAAACAAAATCAAGCAAAACTACATGCATACACATAAACACACAAACGGTATATTTTCTCCATATACAATCTGCAGTGTCTTTACCTGATCATTTTTTACTCAGGAGTGTGTAGGTATGTACATGCAGTTATACTACCAAATTCTTCACATATCCTTCCAGTTCTTTCTTAGATGACCATTTTATACCAGAGTTCAGGAGTGAAAATGTCATCAAAGCTGATTTTATTATGACTAATTGGTCCTTGTTTGGCCTTTTCTTCTTGTCAAATGGGAAAATGGCAAGAACACACATTCAGCTGCCATTATGAAACTACCAACTGATTTCATTTAAAGTGTTCCATTAAAATGTCTCTCAGGCAGGTTTACTGTTAAGTCTGTATCACCATAGCAAATATGGTCAAAGGTCTAAAGATTTCAAAAACACATTTCAAGAATTTTTTACCACTTCCAATATATCATATTAAGACCTTGTAAAGCCTGGCTGCAAGGGAAAAACAGTAAAAGTGCACTTGAAGTAGAAAGTTCCTCAAAGAATCTTATAATACTCAGAGCAGCTACAATATGTAGAACAATATGTTACTATATATATATATCTTTTTCTCCCCCCCTTTTTTTTTTACATATTTAGTTTTTAATGCACCCAATTTTTAAGTGTTTTTCTTAGACCTTAAGTCCTTTGGACATTCATTTCTTCTCTTGCACGCAGACATATCTTAGCCTATGTTAAGTTTATTCAATCAAATCTTCTGTAGAATTAATACATTCTGTTAATCTCTATCAATATAGCAAATGTCTAAAAGCATAATTTTTTACTGCAACAAATTTAATTGTGCAATATTTAATTTAATTGTGCAACATTTTAGGGGATCCTGTGGTTCATTTATACAGAGTACTGTAAAAGCAGTGGGAGTCCCACAAAGTCTCTGAATGTTAGACTGTACAGGCAAGGGAATGCTGAAAAACATTAAATTCACTTTTTTTTTCTTTGAATGAAAATGCTAAGGATCTTTTTTTGACAGTCACCCAGTGTTAGACATGCATGCCAGTGACTCGGCAGCCTCAAACATTGCATTTCCTTCAGTGTCTACACTGAAAAATCAACGTACAAGGGCTCCAGAAGGGAACTCTTTGTGAGTCTTCAGGGAGACTGAGCTGTTATAAATTACGGCAACTTTAACTGGAACAATCAGTCTCCTCATGTAGATGCATTTATTTCCAGAAGGTAGAAAACAGTAAGGCCTTCAGATAAGGCCAGAAGAAATACAGTGGCATGTAAGAGCCTTCAACACTTTCTATAGAAAAATTCATAATTTGATCTCAGACTGTGGTTGAATATTTTTTCATCATCACTGTACATGCTGGTGCTGATCATGTCAGTGGTTGATATAATCCAATGACTCTTAAATTACTTTAAAAAAGTATGTGTTTGTAGTTGCTGGTAAAGTACTTCAGGATTCTTCCAGACCAACAGGACTATAGAAATATAAGATGAAATTAGCCTCATTTAAACACCACAGTAAGCAATCCATTTATAAAAACCGTCAAGAGAACATTTGACTGTTTGCATATTCAGTATGTGTCCTCTTATTCAGAGAGAAAATCCTTTTGTTTGAACTGAACACCCCGTTCCGACTCATACAGGACCTCCAACTCCAACCGATAAGCGGATTAGCCCATGTTTCTGCTGCAATGAAAAGCACGTCGTGTTGGATTCTGCTTGAGCATAGTTTACCGTCAGCTTTCATTGTATCTGCATTTAGTTTAACTCAATTTTAGTACAAAATGAACCTTCACATAACATTATTTGTGGAAGACGAGGGACAAGAAAAGCCTTGTTCAGGATTTCTAGGTTCAATGTGGAGCTTGTACCTTAGACAATCCGGGTAACCTTTGGTGCATTATTGACTTAGTTTTTTTAAATCATGAGTTGTTTGAGTCCCTGGTGACCTCCCATTGTGCCTGGTCAGTACCTCCTATGCTTACCATTATCACATCCCTTTAAAACAGTGGATTTGGCCACATTTCTAGCTCATAAGCTTTGGACATGAGAGGTGCCCAGAGCCTTTCTCTGTAGGCATCTTCAGCATAAGCAGGTGGTGAGAGAACAACCAAGCGAGGCCACCAAGCAGCTCCCAGGGGATGCCAAGGAGATGGCCATGCAGGCCCGGAGAAGAGGAAGTTTTGTGGTGCCTGGAGCAAAGCAGCAGATTACAGAAACTTCGAACAACATAGAAAGACAGCTCTTGTGTGACTTTCTAAGGAAGGACAAAAAGATGATCAAATATGCTCTTTAAGGATG